CCATAGATTGGTGTTGCCACTGGTGGCGGAATTATTAATGGAGTAGAAAAGTTGTATCACCATGAGGACAACAAGCCAACTGTCAGAAACTGAGCAGCTGTGGAGGCATGAACTCAATCATCCAAAAGTCCCAGAGATGCAGTAGCAACAAATTCAGTAACAGGGCTCGAGTATATTGGAGTTATGTGAGATTTTAGTCAGAGCTGTTCACTTTGCTCACAATGTCTTCTTTACTTCAGTTGCATTTCAGTCCTAAAGGTGTCTTTTCATATATTCATCAACTGAACATCAATGGAAACAATGAAGCATCTAAGCAAGTGTAAAGTTGGAATTAGCGTGTGTAAAATATATAAACGTCGCATTACATTATGCTGTAAGCTCATGTTTTTTTAAATAGGTATGATGGAAGTGGAGCTGTCCACGGTGCTGCAAGTCAGCAGGTCACAAACTTTCAGCACCTCGGACAGCTCCACTCGCACATTGATCACTATCAACTTTTCCTGCACAGGATCGCAATGCGCACTTACTCCTGATTGGTTGGATCCGTATACCACGTGACACCTCCCAGCGTCTGGAGGCGGAAGCTTGTTCTTCTCTGTGTGTATATGCGTGAAATATAATGAATGAATTAAAGCCACATATCGCAAACGGGGTGGACACAGTTGATATTTAAATTGTGTCCTTATTTTGTAGGATCCAGTCAGAAGAGACATTGCTGGAGAGTTGTTGATCTTTCTAGACGGTATTACCGGTTTATCCAACGATCTTGGTAAAAGTCCCTACAGCACAGAAACACAGTACAAATATTATAGACTAGAAAAGCACTGAGATGAACATGTTTAAATATACGGTAATGATTCCACAGAGAATTCAATAATGCATCCCAATCAAGATCATTCACAATTTTAATAGCAATTTCAGTATTTAAATATAAATGTATAATATTGAAAATCACTAAGATTAAAGTAGACGGTTTGATATATTTATGCATTCATTTTACTGGCCAGTGTAGACATGGATGGATGTTGGAAGCCAGAGTTGTGAACATGCAGCTCTTTCCTGTTTTATGCAGCTTTCTCCATTCTCCTTCTGATGTACTGTGTAAGAGAAATACAATGCCACCTCACACAATTACAGAGTCAGCACCATTTTACTCCCCAACTCCATGGGTTTTCCTACCAGCCTGTGTTTTGCTCAAACTGACAAGTAGGTGGAAAATGTGTAGTGAGGCAAGGTGCAAAGTGGGCATCTAGCTTACGTTGGCAGAAGCAGCCATTAAGATGCTCATTGCCAGTTTTTGTGCCTGTGAAGGTATTAATCCATTAAAGTACATCAGGACATTAACACCAGATGTCAGTCGTGTCTTCTTGACATTTTTTTTAACAAACCCTCTTACTGTGAGCATTTTCACTTCATTAAAATCTGCTGATTAGTGTTACTCTGCCACACTTTCTACAGTGTCTACACATACTGGAAGAAGGCACGAAATACTGAACACAGTTAACATAACAGATTACCCAAACATAGACAAACTAAACAAGTGGTTTTATAGCATCTCATTTAGCTCAGCTTTCTCATTCACCTGTTTCTTGCAAAGTTCTATCTAAACTTTACATCATATTGCTTGATTGTATACATCCATGTGATGTTTTTTAGGGTTATGTACCATGTTCAGCAGCATATCTGAGGCAATCTTGCACCTGTTCCCAAGAGGTACTCTGGCGTCTGAAAGCTATCAATATCTTTGCAATGTCACTATGAAAGATTACTGTGTATTTATTATTAAAAGAAATGTTGGTTGCTTGTAGAACATTGATAGCTCTTGAATTCCCTTGACAAGAAGGTGAGAAATTGCTCTTTGTATGTTACTGTTATGTGCAGAGCTTTCATTTTGCTTTGGGGCTTTTTAATAATTTCAAGGCCTCAGATGACTCTCACAGCAAAAATGAGACTCTGCATGAGAAAATCAAAGCAGCAATTGATTTCAAAGCCTAAATGCTGCTAAATGCTAAGTGATCCTATTGCAGTACTGCAAAGGGTTGCAAATGAATACTGTTTATCATGTACAATGGATTACATAAATTAATTCTTGATGTAACCAAATTCCCATATTCTCCATTAAGTGTGATCTACAATTCAGAGAATGAGAGAAAGGTAGTGCTGCCATTAACACTTGCATTAACAGCAAATTATAACTGAATTTGTTTAATAATTTAATTTCAGAACTCACACAGAGCAGCTCACCGATCAGACATACAACACCACTCGTGTTCTAGCTGCATTTACTCTTAACTAATTACAGACAGGTGACAAGTTAAAAGGAAAAATCTGAATAAACAAGCAGAGAAACATAATACGTAAATGCAGATGCTCACATAGTTTGGGTCCACTTGTCTCCTTAGAGGGAAAGATCACTGTAAATGAGTGAGCACTTTTATCCTATGATGAAACAGGTCTCTTCCAGGATGGAAGTACCCCCATCCATAGCACAAGAGGGGTCACCAGATCAACCCAGTTAAACACCTGGGAGATTTTGGTCTGATGTGTTAGACAGCACTTTCCATTCCTTTAATCAAAACACCAAATGAGGGAACTTTTTTGGAAGAATGGTGCTCACTGCTCTAGTAGAGTCCAGAGACATGTAGAATCAATGCCAAGGTGCCAAGGTGCACTGAAGCTGTTCTGATGTTCTGGCATGTGGCAGCTCAGCACCTTACTTGCTATTTGTCATATTGGTAGAGCATGGGCAGGGCATTCATCTCTCTTCTGTTGCATTCTTTATTAAAAGCCTACCAGGCATACTTATCACTGTGTGTGCACATTAGATTAAGTGCTTCGTTTAAACAGCTTTCAAAGTACCACCACAGTGTGCTTCACAATCAAGAAATAAAAAGACAAATGAAGAACAGATTAAAAGAGAAGCATCACTGAGGTAAAATTAATTTGCCCAGAAAAAAAATAGACAACGCCACAGAGTCCCACTGGTGACATTTGTAAGAAAAACTACTCCATGGCCACAGCTTGCTAAAGTGTGGAAACAAGATAGAGTGACAAAAAACAAACAAACTAAGAAACATTAAATATATAAAAACAGACTAGAAAATCGCTTTTGGCTTTTCCCATTTAGGGGTCGCCACACTGACGACTCGCATGTTGACATTTGGCATGTGTTTTACGCCGGATGCCCTTCCTGACGCAACCCTGATTCGAACCTGGGCCACAGCGGCAAAAGCGCTGCGCCTTAACCACTAGCCTACCAGGGACAGTTTAAAAGAGACTAATACTCCCAAATATCTTCTAAGGGTTAGGTGTAATTGAAAAACAGCAGTTTGAGAACCCATCCTTTCTCACATTTCTCCCAAAATCCAATGTCAACTGCCTCCTTTGCATGGAAATTAAGTGAACATGATTTATTTAGCTGTGAGTCATATGGACACTGAAGACATGGCTTGAGAGATGAACTTCCCCTCAGCAGCATTCTGTACCTGTTTTCCAACAGGTTCCCCCTCTGTGTCCCTGAAACTTAAATCCACAGGGATTTTAGGCACACCACACCTGAAAGAAGAGCCATTTGTGTTGAGCTGGAGATTTATTGGCAATGTGGTTTAAATACCACGCTTGAGGGCATGATGGCACAACATACAATGCGGAATTGTGACTCTCAGGTTTCAAGATTACTTCCATGAGCAGAAAGCTATACTACTGCGGCCCCCATTTGTTTTATAAATGTGTCACTTGCAGAATCAAGAGGGGGCAGAAAGTTTTCATGGGCAGGCAGAAATTTTCAGCACCATTGGTCTGTTTGTCTTGTTACCTTATACACAAGTGTTTGATGACCAGATGGCTGTGAAGATGAATGGCTCATACAACGTGAGAAGCACATTTATGCTGGTTGTCACGCTGCAAAGAGAAGAGGACTGTCTGGTTACTTCAACAGAGCATGACATATGAGTGTTATTATTAACATCAAAACAATTCCTTTACTCAACTTGTCTTATCTTCAACTGTACCAGCCTGTTTCCATCTACTGAGATCAGGTAATTAATCCATTGCGATTGTCACTTTGAAGACATCTTTGACAAGCTCTGTGTTTTATCCTTGGAGACATTTCTATAGCACCAAACAGATTCAAAGTATATGTCATGAATTGTGGAATATAGTTTTGAATTCAAATGCAGGCAATCAGGAAATCTATAAAGCTACTCTGAGATTTAGTCTCAGTCATGAACACCAAACTAACCAGATAACAAAAGAAAGAAGTAGTCCTTAAGCAATGCCCATATAGGAGACAACAGGAAAACATAACATTAGGCAAAAGATGGTAGCAAATATAAACCCATAAACATGAGTGAG